CCTGGGATGTCCCCGTGAGACCCCAGCTCCTGTGCCACCTCCCTCAGGAAGCAGGATGTAGACACCCCTCCCGTGGGCTCCTGCGGCCTGTCACCAGGCAGGGTCAGCCCTCCTGCACGGCTGCGCCCCACCAGGCCTTCCATCAGCACCTGTGCAGGGGTGGGTCACAGACGCACGGCACACATACCCGCCAGGGGACGCTCATTTTCGGTCAAGTTGAAGATTTCGTGGAAGTTGCCCTTCTTGGTGCTGTGGAAGCGGCCAGCGTCGTCCTCTCTGCTCAGGCTGGCAGGCGCACTGGACACGTAGCTCCGCGATGCGGCCGTCTGCAGCTGCCAACCGCACCCACGTCCCACTCAGGCCTCTGAGGGGGCGGCTGCCACGCTGCACATGGGCCTCCTGCCCTCACCCAGCTGCAAACGCAGACACGCCAACGGGCACACACACCCTCTCAAAAGCCACAGTCCAAACGTGGGGGCAGTCTCCAGGGCCCCTGCCGGGGTGGTCCTGCACCACCCCAGCTCTGCCTCTCCTCTGGGCATTGGGGAGACACCAGCAATGCCCCCCACCCCCAATGCTGTGGCTGAGCCTGCACCTGGCATGCTCTGCCAAGGACACTGCTGCCCGGCCTGTATTCTGCACTGAGGCAGTTAAAATCAACATTTCAGAAACCAAAACTGGCCATGGGATGGGCCAGGGAAAACAACATTGGAAAATCAGCCACGACACAGCAATGGCACAGCACCAGGTCACAGCAGGCCAAGGGGACTTCCACCCGGACACCGTACCTTGTCATTCCCTGACAGCTGGCCAGAGAGGAGACAAGAGACACACATGTAACCACAACAGCAGGAAAACTGGGCTCCACGTGCCACAGTCATAAACACACCGAACTTAGCGNACCGCGCCTGCCTCTCCCGCAGCTGCCCACGTGCCAGGAGGCAGGACGGGCTCAGGAGGGGCGCACAAGCGAATTCTCCAGAGCCTTCTTTGGGGCTGGTCTTTATGCACTGCAGAGTTTTATGGGGTCCTTTCGGGAAGGCCGGCCAGAGACCTGGGATCCTGAGTCACCTTTCACCGGGTGGCTCTCCTGTTTCTCCAGACAGGCCAAGCGCCGGACACGCCCAGGCCAGGAACAGACCTCCAGCCATCACCCTGCAGGTCCCGCTATTGCCGGTGAGCAGCACCGGGCCCACCCTGCGCTGTCCCTCTCGGAGCGGCTGCTGGATTCTGCTGTCCAACCACGTGGTGCAGGGAAGGCCGACGTGGCATGCCCACCCCCACCCCTCCTGGGATGTCCCCGTGAGACCCCAGCTCCTGTGCCACCTCCCTCAGGAAGCAGGATGTAG